TTTTTTTTTTTTTTTTTTTTTTTTTGTGTGTGTGAGAGAGAGAGAGAGAGGGGCGGCAAGGTCGCCGCCTCTCTCTCTCTCTCTCTCTCTAAACCCATTCTCATTTATTTATTTATTTATTTATTTTTCCGTTTTTTTCGTTCGTTTCACTCGAACGTTTGGGATGCCTGCGCCCGGTGGTCCGAGCCTCGGCACGGATCGGCAAACCGATCGGCCGAGGCTCGGACTCGATAGCTGGGCCAGGTACTGGTGGTTTAAGTGTTGAGGGATAGGCCTATGTGGTGAGGAGGTGGCGGCCACTTACCTGTGCCTTGGCAACCATGAATGACTACCCGATGTTCGCAATGTTGACCTTCTCCGTATTATGGGGTCCCCTTTTCCGACTCTTGTTTCCTCTAGGATTCCACTGGCATGCGGCATGAGTGTAACCCTGAGGTCTGGTGGGACCACACAACCATACACAGTAGAATAGCATGCATAAATGGATGGGAAGTTGGTTGAGAAGAAGAAAGAGGAGGAGGGGAAAAAAAGAAAGGAGGAGGAGGAAGTTAAAAATAAATTGGAGGAGAAGAAATAAAAGATGGAGAAAGAGATGAAGAAGAAAGAAGAAGAGTTGAAGGAGTTAGAAGTTCAAGAAGAAGAGGAAGAAGGAGGAGGATTGGTGAAGAGGAGGTGACGGAGAGCAGTCATGCTGGGGAGTTGGAACTCCAGCAGGTTGAAGACTTGGACTGGGTGGGGAAATTTGGATACCGGACAGTGCTTCCAGAAGAAACTAACGAGGAGAGAGATCGATTTGTGGCAAAGTTGGCAGCAACTAACCACCAAGAGGAGAGGAATCTTCGTCCCTTCTCCCTCCTCCTCCATCGATCTCTTCGTCATGCCTCACCGTCCTCGTTCGAGTAGATCAAATATGCCAGGAGCATCAAGTATGCGAACCCATCCTCCTCCGTCCATTCTCCCTCCTCCTCCGTCGATCTCTTCGTCATCCCTCGTCGTCCTCCTCCTTCATCATCGTAGGTTTTCCCTCTCTCTCTCTCTCTCTCTCTCTCTCTCTCTCTCTCTCTCTCTCTCTCTCTCTCTCTCTCTGTGTGTGTGTGTGTGTGTGTGTGTGTGTGTGTGCATCGATCGCCTGTGTTGATGATGAAC